CCCCGCACTTTTGAGGACGGAAATCTATGGACCTGCTCGAAAAATAGTGGATAAAATACGGCGAGCTTTCAGTTTTATGGTTGGGTCTCCCTTCCGAGGCACATATTTACGGGGGATATTGGGTCATATTCCCCCGGCGTCCTGATGATCGGCGCCCAGCTCAACGTCGAAGGCGCCCTGATACGCGGCACTGCTATCTGTGAAGGTGCCCAGGTTGCTGCCGCTCGAATTTTGGTCGCCTACTTAACAAAACCTCTGTTGGTGCCATCTCAGTTTCCTCGAGGTCAGGCAACCTTCACACGCCGTTGGCTACCTTGGCTGGCCGGCGACTCGTTCCCCTCGTGGCGACGCTCTTGACATCCAGTCAAAAGTTGGAGTGGCTGGCGCCCCCAGTGGGGGCCGGGGAAGGGGCAGTGGGCCTCCACGTTGCTCTCTTCCCGAGCCTATGGTGACTTGGCTCAACTCTCCTCAATAGAATCTGGATTCTGCACGCTGTATGAACATGGGCGTATTTGTATTTTGTATTTGTATCCATGACACCACTACGGACAATGCGGACAGTAGGTGTGACAATCAGTAGTGCCATTCATATAGAGGGTGTCATATATGAGCGGAGAGGCAACAGTACAGCTGAGCGGAGAGACAACATTAAAACAACAGTACAACTGGCGTTGCATGGAGCTGCAGGCAACCGGACAGCGGAGGCTTTCGAAAAATAAACAATTCGTCACTTCAACGTATAAACAATAGTAAAAGCAACATAAACACATATTCTCATGGTCGAACCCATGCACTAGCGGCTCACGGCGGGCACAGGCACGCAGTGCGGTAGCGGTACCGGATCACACGTCATGGGCGTTGTCTCAGCATAGGTTGTTATGAGCGGAGAGGCAACAGTGCAGCTGAGCGGAGACAACATTAAAACAACAGTACAGCTGGCGTTGCATGGAGCTGCAGGCAACCGGACAGCGGAGGCTTGCGAAAAATAAACAATTCGTCACTTTAACGTATAAACAATAGTATAAAAAGCAACATAAACACATATTCTCATGGTCGAACCCATGCACTCAGCACTAGCGGCTCACGGCGGGCACAGGCACGCAGTGCGGTAGCGGTACCGGATCACACGACATGGGCGTTGTCTCAGCAAAGGTTGTTCGCAATATAGTTGAAGCCTAAGAAGACGGCCAGTGGGGTCTCACTGCTGCTGAGGCGACCTCGGAGACGATGCGTCGCCCCTCCTGTCGGCGACCTGCGGTGAGCACCTGAGCAGGACTCCAGATAGCTGTCTGGCACGTTGCCGACACTGCCAGACGCTGTCAGCAGGCCTCACTGCTGCAAGTGATGTGCAGATGGACGCCAGGTGACTTCGTCTGCAGGCGATTCCGGAGACCGCGGCCTCACCAGGCAGCACCACCTGCATCGCCATGTCGGTGTTTCTAGAAATGGAAAAATAACAGTATCGGTGAAGGACAAGCAATACAATGTATTGTTTTCCTCTCTTGCAGGTATACGTAATCTACAATTATCATTGTTCCTATTTCATTCAACTGAACCTGAAAATTCCATATTGGCACATTGTTTGACTAAATTTGTGTAGTTGGGAACAGGGGCGACGCCACGGTGCGACGACAGGAGGGGACATTGACCATTTTGGAGGGGACGAGGTGACGAGGACCATTTCAAGTCGATTCTTTCCATGCAACGCCATAGTCGTAATGTTAAAATTTTAAAAAGTGGAGGGGACGAGATCCCCTCTCCCCCGTGGCGACGCCCTTGGTTGGGAAGCAGATTGTTTGAAATACATGTTTGGCTGAACAGTGCGGAAAATATTTCATTGATCACTATAGCTGCAACAAAAATACTGAGACAGAAAACATTTGCGCTTACCTGGCTCCTTTGTCAGTCCCGCACAACGGAAGTGGTACCATTTATCACAGCCGTCGCATCCGACCATCGGTGCTGCACTGATGCTGCTGCACTCCCCACATTCCCAGCACCTTAGGAGCGTCTTGGCTGTGAAAAGATTACATGAGTCATGGCGCATACATGAATAGTAAGATGTTTTATATGTTTAACATCGCATAGCAAAGACACAACAGCTGGGAGTCAAGTGTAAGCAAGTGTAAGCAAGGGACAGAAACAGGAAAATCTGGTGCAGAAGTTAAAAAATTGACACAAGTGATTTTCTCAGCTTCTCACTGCTTCCTACATCATTATATCCAGGGTTACTTTTAAAGGGGGGGAAGAGGGGAATTTCCCCCCTTCGAAAATTCCGCTCCCCCTTTCAAATCGTGTCTGAACGGCTAGGGAGGGAAGGGGGAATTTCCCCCTTTCAAATTTATTTTGGAGCCCATTTTCAATCAATTCGCTATTCAGATTCTATAGTCATCGTTAATCAGATTCTCGTCATCAATCAACGTTGCTGGCGTTAAGATAATTATTAATTTTCAATTTTCGGTTCCATCCAACCATTTTACGTTCAGTGCAGCAGGAACTCCAGATTTGACCCGATACCGATCGGATAGTCGGTGGGACCGTCTCTAGTCATGTCTCTTCCGTCTTTTCGCAATCACTGACATATGTTGTTGTTGTTGTTGTTTGACCCCCCGGCTACCGCCGGAGCGGTAGCGTAGCCGACCGGCTCTTGTGGGCCATGTATCCGGCGGCCAAGGCCGCCACCACGTCGTCGCGCCGGACATCGTGGGCCGCGCCGATGATGTTGCCCAGCGCACGGAGCCGGGGGCCGTACAGGCACGGGCATTCCAGCAACACGTGCGCCGGGGTGTCCGCTGCTTCAGAGCAGACTAGGCAGCGGCCCGCAGGGCATTCCTTGTCGTCGCATTGAGCGCACTCAGGTGTAGGTCTTCGACCAATCCGGTGGAGGTACTGCTCCGATCGGGCCCAGTGGCCAGACCGGAGCTGGTGGATGTCGACGGCCTCCTCCCTGGTGGCGGTCCGGACCGGGGCGGGGGCGCGGTCCCCCATGACGGTGCGGTACCAACCGGCCGGCCAGTCCGCCTGCCACTTCCTCTTGGAGTGCCGCGCGACAGCCCGCGTAAGAGTACGGACATCCACCGGCGTTGACTGCTGAGGAAGAGCGGCCGCCTCCTTGGCCAGGGCGTCCGCTCTTTCATTACCGATCACTGACATATCGGTACAGGCGTCGGCGTAGAAACCGGCGGGGGACGGGATTACCTCTCCGAACCAAGGGTGGATACAGGGGGAGGGGGGCAATGGGCCATGGCCCCTCCTTTGACGCAAAAAGAAGGTGACCCCCTTTTGGACCCCCTTTTATATTCTGTGTTCTTTCTCAGAAACGACCCATTTATTCACGATTATTTTCACTTTTTCATCGACGCCAAGGCCAGACATCTAAAATTTTTGTCCCAATATGACAATAAAACAACGTTATTTTTGTCCCATAGGCATCAAAGTTTTGAGTAATAAATGACTTTTCTCTTTATGCAGCATTCACGTTCATCTGCTTTGCATGCAGAGCAGGGCGCAAAAAAAAGTACCTCATCACAGCCGGTTTTCCCAATGGAACTTTCACTGCTCACTAATACTAATAGTAATAATTCAAGTTTTGTGCTTCATTAGTTTTTGTTCGGATATCACTGCCCACCTTGTAGTTGTAGAGGTTGCAGTTTTGTAGCGCCGTCGTTTCTCTACATACACGACCACACAAAGAACTTTGGAATTGCTCGTTAACTGTAGCTTTTGTGAGCGTTTAAGAATTTCATGTTTTTTGCTCATTTTTGCTCGAACAGTTTGACATCAATTACTCCTGACCTAAGGTGACCTAAGACTTGAAATTTTGTGCGAAGGTTTCAAATTGATGCCCGGTAAGGTACTAAAAATTTGGCGGCGCTGCGCGCCGCCGTTTTTCGCTTTTCAAGAAAACCCACATGGGGGCCAAAATGACCTCCAATCAGGGCGCGGATTAACCTCTCTCTTTAGAAAGGCGTTACTTAATGTTTGGCCGGGGTATACCTACTAGTTATTGATACCACTGATAGGTTGATACTACTGATTGGCATTTGCAAGGGCGCAGTCAAGTTGGGACCTCCCCCGCCCCTTACAGCCATGGTAGGTGCGTATATTTTTTAGCAAAATTATTTTTTGGCAACCTTCCAAAATAAAGTGGCTGAAACCCGAGGAAAGAATAGGATTTGGGGGTAGGTAAGGTTCTGCGGGCTCCATCCTAACGAAAAACCTAATGGTATTGCCGCCCACCCCCCTTTCAGATGCCCCTGGATCCGCCTTTGCCCCGAACTTTATTCCCCCTCTCAACTTTTCCTGTAAAAGTAACCCTGATTATATCGTTACATTATTTGCATCATTAGGGGCAGGAATTGGGCTGCCCCTGGACTCAGCATTCAGATTCGGGGCAGGATTTTGTCTGCCCCCAAAATCTTGTCGAGCTCCCTGCCATGTTTTGCAGACTGGATTTTAAGCAAGAAAAGCTTTGCTAAAAATGACGCTTGACGAAGCCTCATCCTACTGGGCTGTCTGACATGTCTCCCTGTAAAAAAACATGTGGCCCTTATATTGTATATAAGATGAATATGTTAATAATGCAGAGAAAACACAGTATAAATTATACCCAACGTTTCAACGTTGAACAGCTTAAGATGGGTGAAGTGTAAGGGTACCTAGGTACATCTGAAAATAAACTGAATCTGCGTTCAATAAACATTGATTTTGATAATACATTTCACAAATCAATTGCAAATAACAATCATACTAAAATAGCACGACAGATAACTAACAATCGCATGAGAAGAACTTCTTGATTCGCCTTGACATTGTCGTCCGAACGAATGTTGTCTGAAGTTACACATTTGTCTTTTCTGCGCAGCATTTGTGTTTGCCATTTACCGCACCAATGTTCGCCAGCGGTGGTGACTTTTCCTTACCTGCTCACGAAACGTCACACACGACATGACGTCACCCGAAGACGTCATCAAAAAGTCCAGCTCTTAGGCGTGTCCCGAGCCACGTGGGTAATTTCAAATTTATTTTGTAAAATAGGGCATAGGGCCGTATTTATCATGAGCGTTTAAGTCTTAACATTGGTGCTTTAAATAAAATCAAAATAAAAAGCCTTTCTATCGCTGCTATTTACTGATAATGCCAATGGTAGTGCCTTGGGTCTTGGGACTTGGGTCCCCTTTTAGCACAAGAGAGTGATAAGGTTTTTTATATGCTTTTGCCTTACGAATTCCTGCAGGTTTCAGGGATTTGGGAAGATTCCAGGGTATTAGTATACACCTTTTGCATTGCGAGTCGGCATAGATTCAATTGACCGTAACTATAGGCAGCCCAGTTTGGTAAATGAGCATTGTGTTAGACTTACTTTGGACTGTTCGACAGTTTTCATTTTGTTAGTTTATCGGCTGTTTATTTTCGAACAGTGTCACAGTATATCGCCAAGGGCATTTGATATCGACGCTGACAATAGATTTAGTCTTAGGTCACTTAATTTAGTCGCTTTGCGATTGAATTAGGCAATTCAAAATGGATTTCGTTAACGTATAATTTGATTTTTATATTTGTATTTTTCATCAGACGATGAAAATATTAGGCATGTGTTTTTGTGTTGATAAACTCATGAAGTAGCAAACTGATCACGTGGCGTTATAGCTACATCCTTTACACTTGAGCTTCTACTGGTTGTTCCCGGTAGGCTAGGTGACCTCAAGCCAGGTCAGTGTGCTTGTGTCATTTGTTATCAAGATGCCGAGCCGCCGCCATACAGTTTGTGCCGCGGACTGCGAGAGAATAATCCAAGCGGTGGCAACGATAACGTTGCTGTGGCCCGCCAGTTGAGCGTAAAGAGGACGACCGGCTGGTCGATCGTGGCAAAGTGGACGCGTACCGGGGAGTTTGCTGCACGGAGGAGAAGGGGCAACCGACCGAGGAAGCTGGATGACATGATCGACTTCTACCTGATGCTGATTGACGCCGACCCGAACAGCCGGCGCCTGTCTGGCCAGAGAGGACATCTGGACCGAGTGACCGCAACGTCGCGGCGACCACTGACGGCGGCGGAGCGTTCAGTTGTGTCCATTGATTTTGCTGCTTGTGTTCATTGTTATTGCAGTGTTACGTAATTTTTTTCATGTGGCATGGCCATTGGCCATACACAAATGAAATTTTGTCTATCATGTTGCTTTTTTTACCAGAGGCATTTCAAGCTGATGAGCCATTACTGTGGATTGAAATGATTCGTTAGCTGCATATATTTATTTGTTTAATAAAATGTACTTGTATTAAAACCAAATTATGTTGTATCGTGCAGTGGGACTAAATAGCAATTCTATAGTGTTTTATGCACGTGTTACCAATTCATTATCTGCGAATATTTGTAGAGACAGGCCGCAAGTTCAATCAAACCAAATACAGCTATGGGTATGTCAATTATGAATGCTTAGCTCATACATATTGATTATGTATACGATGAAGTTGGATAAAATCGTAAACGAAATTAAAATACCTTTGTCAAAATTGATTCACGCCCGTCTATATCAGATGGACGTTGTCATATTCAGTGCACTATGTCTAAATCCACTGAACAGTCGAAGTTGCGCACACTGCCTATTTTCAATGCCCCTTATCGTGAAGGCGCGTTGTGTCGATGAGAGGCGCACAATGTCGAAAGAGCACGCCTGTTGCCGGCTTAAATGAAAGAAGTCTATATGACCTGCACAGATGCCGACTCGCAATGAAAAAAGGTGTATATTAGGTCCGAGTGGACAATTGTGACGCTGTTGTTATAAATATTTAACAGCAAAAAAATTAGGTTTTAGGTTAGGTTAGGTTGTAGGTTTGTAGGTTAGGTTAGGTTAGGTTGTAGGTTGGTAGGTTGTAGGTAAATAGCAAGGCTATATAAACCAAGGTAAATAGGTAAGGTTAGGTCAGGTTTGATTACGTTTTTTCTTTTATTTCCAAGACATATAAGTATCATTTTTGGATTCAGGATGTCAAATAATGTATGAATATGAAAACAGTCACTCGGACTTACCTAATGTATACTTTTACCGATTCCAGGACAAATCTTTATATGGCAATTATATGTCCTCAAAACTTTGTGCCATATTTCTCCCATTTCTCATCTTGCGTCATTTTACCACACATCCTGTCACACATTTTTCATCCACACAATCAGCAAGTTGTAAATCTTTGTCTTAAATATTTGTCCTCAAATATTTGTCCGAGCCTGGTCGGAAACACGGAGGTCCCCAAGCGTTTTCGTTTTAATTGGGTGACAATGATACCCGGGGTGACTTTGATCATAGACCAATTTTGGGCCTCAAATGAGCATTTTTTTTATATAAATTTAGCTCGAATGTTTGAATGGACGGATTGACAGAGCCGGAGCCCACGCTAAGCAGAGCTTGTTGCGTAGACCCCGACCCCTACCGTCCGATCGCGCAATTCCGGGTATCAGGAGAATTTGGATGCCAAAGTTTAACGTGCCCTTCAAAGCCGGACACGGCCTGCCCCACTCAACTGACTTCAACTGGCTGCGGCTGCTCCCACCAACCGCAGACCATCCCCGTCAGGAGTCTCAAATATCTAGCGCCGGAGCGTCTTCAACCAAACTGTTATCTGTTTAGAGCTTCGTTTGATACGCTTCGTCCCATGGCAAGGTTGAACCGGGGGGTATTGGCCGGCCCGAAGTCCCCGAACCTCCCGGGGGTGGGTGGCCCGAACCTCTCGGTAAGGACGCCAAAATGTGTGCAGCATCTCACCTCAAAAGCTTGTAAGAAAACTTAAAATTATCTACCCAGTCTTAATTTACATGCCTTTAACTTTATGTTGGCGATGGTGCGACATAGTTAAACCAGCCTGGTTGACATGAATCACGAATTTTCTTTATCCACCGGATTTTACTGAAAGAGGGCAAAAACGCACTCTCACCGCTCATTGCTAAAGGAGACTGAAGACTATACAGCCCACGTGATTCTGGAAATCACGTGGGTGTATAACAAATTGATTGCCACCAGTTTATGCGGTCAAATTGGAAGAAATACGCAAAACTTCTTCAGCACGGCGATGGTCCATGCCTCCCGGCGGCCCATACCTCCCGGGTCTCCCCTACCTAGACACCTGCTCACATATTTTGTACCTTCCTTATTCAGATTTTATTTTCAGTTCTGTTGTCTGACGCCACACCTCGGAACTCGACTGGCACTGTGTTGATCACTATGGCGGATGCCGCTGGGCCGTCCAGCGCGCCGGAGGGGCTGCCCTTCCCACTGCTCTGGAACCAGGAGCCACTCTACTGGTATGACCTGCCCGACGCGGACAATGGCACGCTCAATATGGACGCCAAGGGGGTGTACCTGCCGGGCGGCTGGGACGAGCCGCTGAGGACCTCGCAGCGGCTGGACCTGCCGTTCCCGCTGCGCTCTGCCGTCGGCGGCGAGCTGTACCGGCCGCACAGCCACGACGCCGAGCGCGACGGCGTGGAGGGCGCCGCGCTGCCGCTGCTGGCGGGAGAGCTCGGCAAAGGTCAGTCGCAGGCAGTGGCGTATCCAGGATCTTGAAAAGGGGGAGGCCAAACCTGTTCAAGGGGTCCCACCCTTACCTTAGGGGCCCCAGTAGTGGCGTACTTAACCCACGCCCAGGTGCGGTTCTTTGCCACTTAGGCATACAGTTTTTTTTTGCTTTGGTTGTTGCCGGGCCCCGGGGCCACTAAAGATTATCAAAAGCAAAATGTTTTGTCATTTTTTTACGATTGTAACATGTTTCAAAGGGCAGATGTCAATCTCCTAGTGTCTTGCGCTGGTTGAGGGTTGATAGGGCCCGACTCGGGTTGAGCTCTGATCTAGACTCTGATTACTCTATGTGGCCCACATTGGCTTCACTCCGACCTCTGAAGGCTCATTCTGGCCTCTGAAAGCCCCACACCGGCAACAGAGTGAACCACACTGGCCTCCGGGCCCCATAATTGCCTCACGAGACCCATGCTATGGCTGACCTCACAGGGCCGGCCCCGCTGGCTCTTGGGAGCCTTTGAGTCAGTCTGACGACCCTATGCCGCTCTCGAACCCACGCCGGTCTCTAGAAGCCCATGATGCCCCTGAGGGTCCCACGCCGGCCTTTAAGGGTCACCCCTACCTCAGGGGGCCCAAACATGCATAAGATCTGAAAAGTGGTTGCCGAGGCCCTCGAGGTGGCCTTTCATGGCCCGACGCCAGCCTATGAAGGCCCGCGCTGGCTTCTGAGGGCCCAGCACCAGCCTCTGAAGTCTGAAGTCAGATAACAGATGGCCCCACGCTGGCTTCAGAGGGTTCACGCTGGTCACAACTCACAGAGTGCCCCACACTGGCCTAAAAGGGCTCTTAATTGTCTTCAGAGGGTCCCAAGCTAGTCTCGGTGGCCAATGGGCCTCAATTTGACCTAAGAAGGCCCCATGCCGCTGACCTTAAAAGACCCCACGCTGGACATATACGGCCCCATGCTGGACATATAGGATCCCACACTGGCCTTACAAGGCCCCACACTGGCCTTACAAGGCCCCACACTGGCCTTAGAAGGCCTACACTGGCCTTAGAAGGCCCACACTGGCCTTTAAAAACCCCACAATGGCCTTAGAGGGTTCCACGCTGGCCTTAGAGGGCTGAGCGCTGGCTCCTTAGGGCTCTACACCAGCGTCAAAGGATTCCACGCTCGAGTCTAAGCTTCTTTATGGCCGCCAAAGCGACCTCTGAGGGCCCACGCTAGCCTCTGGGGGCTCGGGCTTGGCCTCTGAGGGCCTATGATGGCCATCAAATGGCATTTTAGGATAGTTTGACGCAGTTTGACTTTATTTATGCTTGGGCCAGTACTTTGGATGAGGCCCTGAAGGTTGTTTCTCTTGGGACACTTAAGCAGGCACGTACCCAGGATTTCGCCCAGGAGGGGGCCGCCTGCCCTCGAAGGGGCCCACGGGTCACCCGGGGCCACTGTCAACCCAGGCAGGGGCGTATCCAGAACCTTTCGATGAGGGGATTGGGCACAATGGGTCCGGTCCCCCTTGCAGACAGGCCCCTCTGTCTGTCTGTCTGTCTGTCTGTCTAAGCCCTGAGAAAATGTGCAAAATTGGCAGGTAAAAATATCATTTTTTTGCTTGAAAAGTATGCATAAAATGCACGATATTTTATGAGGAAGTGAAGCGAGCGAGCACCTCAGAGTCACCTGTGTTAGTCCCTCAGAGGTGTCGGTGAAAGGCCATCAGATGCGCTGGTGCGGGGTCCTCACAGGCGCCGTTGTGAGGGCCTTAGAGCTTAGAGACACTGGTGGGGGCCATCACTCAGGCGTGTGTGGGGCCCTGAAAGTTACTGGTGGCCCTTCATAGGCCGGCAAGGGACCCTCAGAGGTCGGTAAGAGACCCTCAGAGTCGCTGGTAAGTGACCGTCAGATGCGCTGCATAGGACCCTCGGAGGCGCCGGTGTTGGGGCTCTCAGAACCGCCGAAGTAGGCCCTTAACCCTCGCCCTGGCAGGGCATTTTTCATAACACGGCCTGGCAGGGTGGGGGGTCGATGCGACCCCCCCCCTCGCGATTGGCTCCTATGGCACCTAGAAACACCAAATTTGGTAGGTAGGTGGCCCCCCCCCGGAGTTCTCGCCCCTGTGCAAATTTGGTTGCTCTAGGTCAATATTTAGGGGGGTTTTGGGGGGTATAAATGTAAAAATTTCGCTAAAAACAGTTCAAAAGTTTTTCGCTTATAACTTTTGATCTAATTAAGATAGAGCAAAAAAAAAAACACCAGTGAACTCAGCACGTCAAGGCGCGTCGAATGATATACTTTTTAGCTTGCTTAAGTGTACTTAAAGTTTTTCTTAAATTTTAAGTAAACTTAAATTAATAAATTAAGTTCAAGTTAACCAAATTGCATCATATCGCATATCATTCGATTTGGCTGATCACCAGGAACACAATGATACCATTTTTAAGCTCTAGCGTCATTATGTGCCAAATTATTGGCAAAAACGTCATTTGACCTCAGTTGACCTCATTTGACCTGACCCATGAATAAGTACACCAAACAAAAAAGCACCAAGTGACCTGCTGTTAAGTACTGTGGTTTCAAAGCACAAAAGTGATAGAACGAAGCGGATATCTCCAGTATTTTCCGAATTAAGTATTTTCCCATAGGCTTAACATTACGACGTAATGATCTCTAACTGACCTCAGGTCAGTGACCTCAAAAAACCCGAACTATATGTTATACAACTCGGTGAACTTAGCACATCCTGAAAGTTTGAAGGAAATCGGTCCAAAACTGTGAGTTGGACAGGTGCAAAAAGAAAATTGAAATTTGACCATGACCTTGTACTGGTTTTTCTGACCTGGTGACCTGACCCAAGGTCACCTGGACCTGAAATTTTCAGGTCATATGTAAAAAGGTTGCCTCATAGGCAGTGTCCCAAAATATGTTGATTTGGGTGGGAGACGACACCCAATGGGGAATCATTTTCCACTCTCGCATATGAGTTTCGAAGTGATTTTCCCACTCCCAAATGCAGGGCTGCGGAGTCGATGGATTTTCGGCGACTCCGACTCCGACTCCTACTCCAGCTTTCAAAAACCAGCTCCGACTCCGACTCCGGGCAGAATTGTCGACTCCGACCGACTCCCGACTCCGTCTCCGCAGCCCTGCCCAAATGGTCTTTTCACATAAGTGAGTGAAATAACACCCAAGACCAGTGCCGTAGCACTGAACTCGCACTGAAATTGTCAAGGCTTTCCTCAACTATCAAATTCAGATCGCACGTTTTGCTGCCCATTTTCTACTCTCATTGGCCTTTTCGGGCTCGAATTTTTCACTCCGACACCCAAGCCAAATTGTACTTTTGGGACACTGCTCATAGGCTGTGCCAAATTTGGCGGCGCTGCGCGCTACCGTTTTTACGCTATCTTCGAAAAACCTTAGGGGGGTCGCATCGACCCCCCCCCCCTGCCAGGGCGAGGGTTAAGAGGCACTGGTGTGGGACCCTTAGAGGTGGCAGTGGAGGCCCTCGCAGGCGCCGTTGTGAGGGCCCTCAGAAACACCGGTGTGGGCCGTGGGGCCATAGCAAACGGGTATGGGGCCCTTACAGCTGATCCCTTATTGGCCGGCAAGAGCCCTCAGGGCCGGCAAGGTCCCTCAGAACCTGGCGTGAGGCCCTTTTGGAGATAAGTGTGGCTACACAAGAGCCCATGGGGTGTTCTCACAAGCCCTGTGGTCTCCTTTCCAGTTGAAGCGTTGCCAGCGCGGGCCCTCTGCCGCCAATGGGCACCGCAGGGCCTCTCGGACCCGAGGGGACCCTAAACCCTATAACGGACACGTGTCCCCTCGCCCCTGGCCATACCATTGAATCTGAGTGATCACGGGCCGTTCAGGTAATCAGGGCTCTCTCAGGTGACCAGGGGCCTTTTTATTGACCAGGGCCTTTCAATTGACTAGGGGTCTTTCAATTGACCAGGGGCCCACCAGGTGACCAGGGGACCCTCTGATAACCAGGGGACGGTTATGCCAGGGGCTCCACGGGTAACTAAGGGCCTTTATGTGCATAGGTGGCGGAACGGGGAGGGCACCGGGGCACCGTGCCCCCCTTAGATTTTGGCATTTTAACATTAGCCCTATAGGCGTTGCATGGAAAGAATGGGACCAAAAGCCGGCAGTGCCCCCCCCCCCCCTTAATTGAATGTGTTCCGCCGCTACTGTTTATGTGACTGCAGGGGCTCTTCATATAACCAGGTACTCCCCGGGTACACATGGGCCCTTCAGGTGACCAGGGTTTCTTCAGATCACTGGCCAGGGCTCACCCAGGGGATCAGGGGCCCCTCAGGTAGCTAGGGGCCCTTTAGATAGCTAGGGGCCCCTCAGGTAACCAGTGGCCCCTCAGATAACCAGGGGCCCCTCATATACCAAGAGGCCCCACTGGTAACCAGGGGCTTCTCAGAAAATCAGGGGCTCTCAGGCAATCACGGGCCCCTTAGGTAATCAGGGGCCCCTCAGGTAACCATGGGCCCCTCAGCCAGGGGCCCCTCAGGTAACCAGGTGTCCTTCAGATAACCAGGGACCAATCAGGTAACCAGGGCCCCCTCAGATAAACATGGGCCCCTCAGATAACCAGGGGCCACTCAGATAACCAGGGGCCACTCAGGTAACCAGGGGCCCTCAGATAACCAGGGATCCCTCAGGTGACCAGAGGGACCCTCAGGTAACCAGGGCGCCCCTCAGGGCCCCCATGGCCCCCTTGGGTACGTCACTGCACTCAAGTGACCCAAAGGGCCCAACTTGCATGTTTGATGCCAAAGGGGGAGGCCATGGCCTCTTGGCCTCCCCCCTGGATACGCCACTGGTCGCAGGGGTCGGGCGCCAGCTGGAGAGCTCGGCAAAGGTCAGTCGCAGGGATCGGGGCGGAACGTGATGTGAAAAAGGTCGATAAGCTGACATGTATGACGTGCGTTTTACTTGTGTGCTGAGTGGTGTTTGTTTTTAGTATAAATGTTTAAATCGACGGATTGACATGATAAGGAGAGCTGGCTGCGAAGGCCACATCCCCACCATCCGATTGGGAAATTCGGAGTGAAACGCTTTCGTATGCATGTATGACAGGGCCCCGTCGCTCCCAGGACTGGACCATGACCCGGTCGAGGAAAAGGTGGACAAGTACTGGTATCTGAAGTCGCACGTGGACAAGTATGCGCTGATACCGGACGGTGCGACCAGGTCGCAGATGCATGGATCGTCAGGCGTCACGAGAGGTAGGTACGGCTCGCTGGGTGGGGGACCGCTGGCTGCCAACGGGGCAGCGGCTTGTGCTGTCGGCTGTGGACCTATGTTTTCCATTGTGTTCTAGGTGAACTGTTTTGAATGGGGCTTGTCACGATACGCCGTTGGTGTTTGTGTGTCGCTACAGAGCAGGCACGTGGTGTGCTGGACCAGATCAAACAGGGCGCCACCGTGCTGCCCAAACTGAGTTTGCCGCTGAGAAACGTCCTGAGTCTGGCCCAGTTTCTCACCAAGAACCCCGTCTTCACCGGCTGGGATGCGGTAAGCTAAGCTGCTATATTGGTCACCTGGTAACGTGTTAGTACGTTTTATATAGGGGAGAGTGGGGCAAAGCGGCCACCCGAGGTAAAGCGGCCACCCATCGTTTTAGCCCTTCATACTGCTGGCGTCAGTTCCAATTTATGGTTTCCAATTATACTTCTGTTCACGGTCGTTCGAATGAGCCAGACCGGGGTTTCAGGCCCATCACCATTGTTCTGTGAAACACGGAAAAGCATTTCTTGCCAGGTTACCAACAATGTTTACAATTTTTAAAGGTTATGTTATTCCATTACCGTTTGGAATTTTTATAAGCGTTCTTGTCCATGCATTGCATGGTTATCGTACAGGTATTCTACCAATTTTAATGTTTTTTACCCCACTAATAGCTAACCTGGAATATTTTTGTCTCGGACGGTATGCGCGGGGCAAAGTGGCCACCCCCCAATTGGCCATTAGTTGTTTCCATCTGGATAAAAACATTATTTATATTCAAATGTGTCGTCATCCATTCGTCTTGGACACTTTTCAGTTACATGTGTTACCAAATAATGCAATTAAATGTTTTTCATGAAAATCCTTTCTTTGTTGACCTACAGGTGGAAGATGATAAAGTAAACATCCATCCTCGCTTAAACCTTGTCACCATCAAATACCCTAGTCGTACACGAGGCAACTATTTTGTTTCTCATATCGGGACTTGAGAAGACGTCGGTGGCCGCTTTGCCCCAGGGTATGGGGCAAAGTGGCCAATATGCATAGGTTTAATGTTTTGTCAATTATCTTCCATATGTAAACGCCTTTGGAAATAAAACGCAGTTGGAATAAAAGCAACTTAATAGGGATCACATTGGTATAAAAAGAATCTTTCCACGTTTAAAAATCAAGCGTTGGCATCGTGAGAAGCGTTAGGGTGGCCGCTTTGTCCCACTCATCTCCCCTACATCAAACCATTTTTGTTGGCTGCTGTAGTTGTTGCCTGCAACTGGCCAATGCTTTACTTGTCAAGTAGGCATTTACGTACTCGTCAGTGGCCCACCAATTTCATATAAACTCAGGAACAAGCCCTTGGCAGCTATTGCTAATTATTAGCTACCTGTAAACTGCAGTGCACAGCGGCACATTGTCTCAAACCCAGCAACACAGAGTAGCCGGCTCTGATAGCCGTTATTGCCGCGCCGGCACGGTCGATACTCAGTAGTCGATGCTCGCCGTTTCAGAACGACAACTGGCTGTACGGCGGCGGGACCATGTCCTTGATGAAGTACTCGCGGAAACTGCTCCACACTAGCGGCGAGAATGTAGGTTAGTCATCAAATCACTGTCAGCGTCCCAACCGGCAGCGTAACTCATCGCTAGAAATTGTTAGAGAGTATTAGTGCGCTTTGCAAAAGTTAGTGCGATGCGTCTATTGTGATAGTAGTGGCACATCCTTGGTAGTTGGCCATTTGGACTTGGTATTGTTTTATCCTTTGACATCTAAGTCGTAACTCGCAAGCATTTATAATTTAATAAAATATCATTTTCTTGTTCCATGTGTCTATGCATGACTTGCTGCTGGTTTCATTGTGTGCTGCCAGCTGCTCCGGCCTCTTAGGCGTCTACTGCCTCCATCTGGCCACCGTTGGTGGTCGGGGACTCGGCGGGAGGCAGCCCCATTTCGCCGACGGTCTGCCCCCGTCACCATCACCCCTGTCGTTACAGCCGTGGCGGATCTGGTCGCTCCCGGAGACTGGGAGGAGGACTCCTCCAACCGTACCGGCGAGGGCTCGTCCTCCTACTCGCGGCTGTGGGCCGAGGACGAGGTGCTCCTCACGTGGCCCGATGATGAGACGGTCCTCCAGATCGACGCCGCGGACCTGCCGCCTGACGAGGGAGGACTAGGTAGGGTTCAGCGGGGGGCATCCAACGGACCAGAGAGCAAGGAGGACTAGGTGCGGACCGACGGGGAGCATCCGCCGGACCAGGGAGGACTAGGTGCGGGATGACGGGGGCACGCCAGCCTGGTTCTTTTATCGTCGATCCAGATAGTTTTGACACTCAGTTTGTGCTGGAAGAAACTGAAGCATAATCTTGTATATTGTTATCTGTCCTATTGATTTCACCGCCTCTCACTAGTTGTCCCACAGTACCTCCCCTCTCCCCTCCCCCGCGGGCTTCCATAGCCCCATCAGGCCATCACTCTATCACTCTCACCCCTCGGCCCTCACATCCCCCCCCCCCCACGTTCAGAGGCGGCCGTGGTGCGCAGCCTGAGCTCTGTACGGTTCTACCTGAAGCCGGCGCGCCGCCTGATGCTGCTGGACGAGTTCACGCCGGCGCACCCGCCGGCCGCCGTCGCCCTCCACCGCAGCGCCAAACGCCGCTGGGCGGCCGTCGATACGTCCGGTGACTGCACCGTCCGAGACGGAATATCGGGGTGAGCCGAGCAGAGCGTCAAACGGAACGGTCGTGAACGTACCGTGTTCTCGGGTCGGCTGTATTGTGATCGTGTTTTTTTTTCCATTTGGGAAAGAGTAACCGTCTCAAGTCTTGTGCTTTCGGTTGTCAGCCTGTGTATTTTTTCAATTTAAAATAGGATATTCTGCTCTCAACGGGACACTCACCACCAACTGACCTCGTGTACCCGCTGTGCGCAGACGAACTGACCTCGTGTACCCGCTGTGCGCAGACGAACTGACCTCGTGTACCCGCTGTGCGCAGACGAACTGACCTCGTGTACCCGCTGTGCGCAGACGAACTGACCTCGTGTACCCGCTGTGCGCAGACGAACTGACCTCGTGTACCCGCTGTGCGCAGGCGCAAGATCTGCTCCGCTCTGCTTCCGAAAGTGGAGCGAAAGATAGGCTGGTTCGGTCTGCACGGCCTAACCCACACGGACTGCTACCAGGTGGCCTCCTGGGAGCGCGTCTACCACCTGGACTGCAGGGTTAGTGACCGGCAGTGATAGAGGATACCGCACTGCCAGGGGTGGGAGGCGTGCTGGTGCGTCTATGTGGATAGGAAGTCGGGAGCAGTGAGTGTTACATGGCCTTGCTGCTTCATTTCATTAATTCTTTTTAAAGTCTCGCCGGGTATGAACTCCTATAAGAGCAGCGCTATTGGATTGATAAGTCCTTCAGATCTTCTATTTTACCCAAATTCCGCTCTCTGTCCGCAATTCTGTGATGAAATCATGACACGCCCCGGGCTCGCCCTGCTGTTGCAGGGGGGCAGGTCGTCGGTGCTGTTCCAGATGTCGGACAATGGCCACCTGTTCCGCAGCGGGGAGCGGCTGCATGCGATCCGCCGCAGCACGGTGCGCGACAACCTGACGCTGCTGACCACCAACCGGCACCTGGTGGTGCTCGACGAGCGGCGGCCGGACGTGCCGTGGCTCTGGTCGCGGCTGACGCTGCCGCCTGCCGGCGTCTACCTAAGCAGCTGTCCGGCGGCGTGTCGCGGTCCCGGCGGCGCCGACACAGAGCTGATCACGGTCGCCTGTCAGACGGACAGCCATGTGCAGGCGCTGGTGTACGACTGGGCGGCCGGCGCCGAGCTGGCCGCCTCCCGGCCGCTCGGCTGCGCCCGGCCGCCGGTCGAGGCCGCCGGCCCGCCCGCAGCCGAGACCCACCGGCGCCTGGAGCAGCTGGCGCTGACCGGGGTGGTGGCCGACCGACCCGCCCGCGGTCACAACTGCGTCTACACCACCAACAGCTGCGGCGACGTGTTCGTCCACCCGCTGGTGCCCCTGGACGGGTGTGAGGACCGGCGGACCGGTGAGGAGGCGCCGGCGGAGGAGCTCGACGACTGGAACAAGCCGCCGGAGCTGCAGCCCAAAAAGTTCCGACGCTACAATGGTACGATGTGGGCGGGTACGAAGCCGCCGCGGCGCCCGCCGCCGCCGCGCCAGGTGAAGCCGCTGAGGGTGACGGAGGAGCAGTGCCGCCGTCTGGTGGACGACTGGCGGCGGACGGTGGAGAGGCAGCGCTGGCACAAGGCGCGCGTGACGCCGCTCCACTGCGACTCGGTGGTGCACTGGTCGGGCCCGACCCACCCGCCAGGTGAGGACCGGGCGTCTGAGCCAGTAGCCGGGACGCGGGAGAGGGGCGCTGGGGACGGGGGACTGGAGAAGATGTCTGTTGATTGCAGGTCGGGTTTAGCTCATAATAAACATAAATCGGTACGCTGGTCGATTCTGTGGTAGCTTTGGCCGATACATGGATACCAACGTCCGCTACTCCTTTTAGTGACTTTCACTGCTTTGAAATTGATACAACCCCGACTTGTGGGCTGGTATTCCTATTGCACAGTGTCCTCTGTCTCTGTGCTGCAGACCTGCTGAAGCCGCCGCCGGAGGCAGAGGGCGAGAGTGACGAGCTGCCGCGCTGGAGTGCCGAGAAGACGGCCGCTCTGCCCCGGCGCACCCCGGAGCGGACCCCGCAGCGGGTGAACCGCTGGCTGAGCCGGCTGTCGGGCGCTGCGGGCGGTGCGCAGGGCGCGGCGGGCGGCGCGCAGGGCCCGGCGGACCCGGTGACGCCGGGCGGCGCCGGGCCGGCCGGCGACGCCGCGGACGACCCGGTGGAGCCGTCCACGCCGTGGGACCAGACCACCGACGGCTCGTCCACGGACGTGTCCACGCCGCCCCGGTCCGAGGTGGACGAGATGCTCAGCATGTGGTGAGTCACTGGGTGTCACTGGCGACTTGTGGGGGCTACACGGCCTTGAGCAGCCAGCCGCTGGGGCTGACGGTAGTTTGTGGAAGTTGAAACAGCCAGTAGCTGATTGAGTAGCTGATATTGACAGGCATAAGACGAAATTCCGAAACCCTTGGTGCTGGGGCTCAGCCAGACTTAGTTCATGGCTGGAATGGGCGAGCTCGTATTGATAGATGACCAGTGTTTCATTTTTCAGCCTTTTTGGTGGAAAATCACACCCAATGGGGAAAATATTTTCATCCCTAAAATATGAATGACCGACTTTACTTCATCTCTGAAAAGAGTTTCATGTATTCCCAACAGCCAGTTCACTTGTCACTTGACAGTTGATGCACCCACATCCTTTTGTTCCACACCCTGTCAAGATCCTGACATGAAATCCTGGTTTATCAGTTAGCATAAAAATTGGCATTACACCATTTTGCAAAAATACTGCAGTTATTTACTTTCTTTTTTCTCATCCTAGGATTTTTTTCTTCATCGGCACACCCAACCAATATCCAATTTTAGAACACTGTAGATGACCAATTGACTTCAATGCCGGGCATATTCCAAAAATCGTTAGCGCTATGTTGTCAGTTTTCGGATGACACTACTGCAATAGGCTGAATATCATTGCGGACGTCCGTTCCCCTCCCCGGAGCAATGTGTTTGCCGCTGAATGTGTGCCCCCCCCCCTTCCCCTCCCTTCCGTTCCGCTGAGTGTGCGACGCAGTGCGGTCAGAAATGTGCTCTGTACGTGTCCTCTGTGCCCTCCGCGCTCCACTGGCCGGTCGCAATGTGTGCGGGAGCGGGCAGGAATGTATCTGGCGAACTGTCAGAGCCGAACACCGACATTCCGGCGGGGTCGCAGCAGCACGTCCTCTCTAGGGTCACCTTTCTCTCTCGAACCGCACCGACGCTGCACAACCCGATCGGTCGCCCCTCGCCCTTCCCTCTGTCCCCTCCCCTGCTGACATCATCAAGTTGGTATAGCTGGTGTGGTTTCGAATTTCGATGACGACGGATTTCAGCACGATGGAGCCAAGCTCACTCTGACACTCAGTGTCCCAAAACTTGTCAATTTTGGTGGAAAAAGACATCCAAATGAAAATAATTTTCCACTCCCACCTCCAACTTTCAAGAGCAATTGACCACTCATGTAAGAGCATCTGCTTGCATTATCGCATCAGATTCTACCATTGTACAGAAAAGTGTGCAATCTTTCCTTCTTATGTTCTTTATTTTCAGGGGGGGGGGCTAATCTTATCAAAAACATACCACCCTCGTCCCTCATCCTTTTTTAGAGGAATTTTCCACTCTAACACCCAAGCATTAATATAATTTTGTGACACTGCTGACACTCGACTCGATTTGGAGTTACTTCTTTATCTCCCCGCGCTCGACCCTCTTCTCGGTGACTCCTGATCTCTCCGGCTGTACCTTCACGCCCGCTCTCCCTCCCTCTCTAGCATTACGCATTCCTCTAGCATTCCTCTATCTCTAGTCTCTCTCCAGCGGTGTTCTGACACCCCTGTCCCCCCTCTCTTCCAGGGAGACTGACGCCGATTTGTCGGACGAGCCTCTGTCCGTAGCGGAGGAGCTCGCCGCCAACGCGCTCAGCATCGCCGGCTCCGTGCGCCGCAAGCGGGTGCCGCGCTACCAGATGCGACTACGGCGTGTGTCCGGGTCGAGTGCGGCCTCCAGTCGCGTCTCGTCCAGCCGTCTGTCGTCCAGTCGGCCGGGCAGCAGCGGCTCGGGCCGGGCGGTCTCGGCCGGCCAGTCGGCGGCCTCCGGCGGCGCCTCGACGTCCGGCTCCGGGTCGGCGCCGGCCTCCAGCCTGGTGACGCCGGCGCGGCCGCTGCCGGCCGTCAGTCACGGTGCCGCCTTCCAGCAGTTCAGCATGGACCTGTTCGACGACTAGCGCCGGCGGCCGGGGTCGAGGGTTCCAGCCGTGGTCAGTGGTGGCAAGTGGTTCGTGGTATCAACGAGTGATGGGTGGCTGCATCGCTGTGTGGAAGTGCCTCTCCGTGTCCTTTCCCACCTTCTGACCCAGTGTTGTGGCTGTGACGGGTGCTGTCTGGCGTTGACGCACTGATTTGAGACGTGTCTCGCCACCTGAGCTGTTGGCCTCCTGTGCTCCGTTAGCGGGACGAGTGGCGACCAAGATGTTTGTGAGAACATTGAACTATGCTGGTCAGTGTTGTCTATGGTCAGTAAACGGCAGCGTCACGTCGCTCAATGAATAGTCAAGGACCATCTCATGCTGCCACAGGGATATAATTCCTGGTCACAACTGTGCTGCTCAGGGTTGGAGCGTTTACGGGTGTTTGCACCAGTTTGCGGACGTTCGTATATCCGAAAACTCCATCAGCATTGTGCAACATTTCATACCAGTGTGTTTTTGCTTTCGAAGATTTTGCGTGTTCGATGATGCACGCTCGTTTGACAGTGCCTCAGGTCTACGAACTCACTCGGAAAGTTCGCTATGTTGAAATGTTGTTTTGGTGTCATTGTGATGTGATCTGGGGTAGCATCCATCAGCGGTGGCAGCGTGCGCAAGCCCGCATGTGTCCCTCATTGAGCTCGGGTATGCGATCTGGATGCGGGTCACGTTCTTTCGAGTTGTGATACGATTTCATTGTGCGCTGACAATACAATCTGCAAGTAATGAAATTGTGCATTTTCGCAGATAATTTTATATCTGCGCTATTACGTAAAACCTCTAGGCCTTTGCTTTCCGAAAAGGTAAGCACGCGCCGAAACCCATCCCTAATGTCTCAATCAGCGCTGCGTGCGTTATTTCACGGCAACCACCTACATTGTACACATCCAGCGCTGTCGGCTCCCAGATGCGGCCCACCCCTCGAGGCTCGAGCTCCTCCGCCTTTGGCGCCGGTCATGCCCCGCCCATCCGCCGGTCACATTCCTCTGTCGGTATATTTCGGGACGGCCGCCCGCCGATGGCTCTCCCGGCACCATCACTGCCCGCGCCAGGACGTGTCCTAAATGGCGTGACCTCTCCGACCTTTACCGGCCGCGCAGAGAGCGCCGGGGGTCACACTGTTGGCACTGGATCAGAGCCGGTCGAGGTGCGATCAGGGAACGTCGGGGCCCCTCTGATACCTGGTTGGCCCGTGTGCGAAACATGGCACGTCAGTGGCGCGCCCGGGCTAGTATTCGTTGGCCGGGCGCCCTCGTGTCCTACAGCTCCAAATGTGGTCCGCAGCGGCGGCGACGCTCCAAGAAGTGAGCGATGTGCTATATCAGGCCGTTGGCTCTGACGGGACGCCAAGCCCAACTGAGACTGGCGTGACAGAGCGGAGCGGCGGAAATGCGTGCCAACCAGACTGTGTCAACAAAATGGGGGCCACTGTAACACCGCTACTCTCACTACGAGTACGAGCTAACATGCGGCGTGTACGCGACTCAACGACAGCGTGGCGAAGTTGTGCGTCCATTTGAGTCAGCAACACGTCTCGAATATGTATCTCGTATGAAGCAATTCGAAACTTATTTCGGCACAGTAAGCGTTTGTCGAATAACTGAGCACCACCACCAACTGTAACCAGTGTAACAGGTGCCTTCCCACAGCCATACCGACCCCAGCTCCCGTGTGTCTGTGGAGTGTCAGGACGTTGTACACGCCGTCAGCGATATGCGTGTTCTGCACTCTGCAGCACGCCCCACGTCTGCTCCCGCAGTCACCACCCACCTCCCAGACCCTCTGCGGTTCAGTCAGCGCATTCTCGCCCCGCTCTCCACTCTCATGACACGGCTCACTCAGGCCAGGACAGCTTACGCCGCGTGACGTATTTTGAAAACGTCCGTAACGTGGACTACGTAAGAATGTAACCTCACAACGTAACTCTGTCCTGACCTGGTGAGTCCGAACCAGGAAAACCAAACTAAAAATTGTTAGATTTTTTAAGTCATTTCGTTCAGCTGTGTACAACTTGCGATATAATCACAATTTCATTTTGTCACCGCGTGATCTAGCCGAAAATCAATGACGCTGACGCAAGACACGCACCTATCCATCATTCGAACCCATACATAATAATATAGCCATATTCTTCTGACAAGCTAACAAATACAATAGTAAAAATTACAAAAGAGAACAGGCTACATACAATAGACGGGATTGAGAGAAGAGGGAGGGGGAATTTGGGCGGCGCTCTGGTGACGGCGGCGACAGCGCGACAGAGAAGCTGCGGCGGCGGCGGCGGCACGGCCGGGCGTCCGCGGTGCCACGGACAGTTACTCGGCGGCGGCGGCGGCGGCCGGTCGCCGGCGGGCGGGGGCGGCGCGGGCGGCGGGCGCCGCCGGTCAGCATCATCAGTCAGTGGGTCGCGTGGCGGTGGCGGCGCCCGGTCCCGGTCCGTCCCCGCCCTGGTGACGCGGCCCGCCGGCGGCGGGCGCTCCGTGCTGCTCGCACTGACTGCTTAGTAGCCGGAGAGTTCGGCGAACGCCGTGTCCATCTCGTCGGCGATCCCCTTGTACTTCTCCTTCTCGTTGACGAGCTCGTCTGCGGGTGGGAGCGCGGAGGGGGCGGGCGCGTCACGGTCGGCCTCCGGGCGCGCCGGCCTCCCCCACGGCCGCTGACCAGGACACCGGGTCACGGGCCACAGACGGCCGCAGACAGACGGAAAGCCGGACAGACAGACAGGCAGGCAGGCAGGCAGAGAGGCGGACAGACAGAAGGGAGAGAGAGACAGGCAGAGAGAGAGAGCTGTCGGACGGGCAGACGAACAGCGGGCGGACGCAGCTCCGCACACGGCTGGTTAGTGGGCGCTCGGCCGGCGGCGGCAGCGGTGGTAGCGGTGGCGGCGGCTCGCGCGCCAGGCAGTTTAGTAGGCGGACATCTCCGAGAACGTCGTGTCCAGCTCGTCAGAGACGGACTTAAACTTCTCCTTCTCGTGCACCAGATCGTCTGCAAGGCCGGCCGGGGGTTAGTGGCGATAGCAGAGGCCAGAGCAGGGCCCGGGCAGACAGGGTTATTCACGAGAGCAGAGCGCGAGACACGTTAGACGCCAGCAAAGCAGTTAGACATAGCAGTAATTAGACTCGATCACGTGAAATATTGTGAAAATTAGCAGAAATGAGCAGGAAATATTAGCAAGCGGTTATGATTTCAAGAATTATGCGTAGAAAAGAGAGTCCGGAGCTCAGGAAATGAGACCCAACATTTCATACACACGTAACACTTGACACGGAATGTCCACATTAACGGCATACGTCAAACACAACACCGTTCAATGCCAGGCATGGAATACCCCATATCCCCGTATTTACTATCCCTCATTCAGGAGACTGGTGTGCATTCGCTGTATCGCAGGATGCTGGGATCCAGGAGCTTTGTGAAGGATCGAGCGGACATCCATACCATTAGTAAGCACGGCAAACGGGATTAGCATTTACCTGCTCCCTCGGCTATCCGCGGGCCAGTCACTGACCGGCGCGTAGCAGCCGGGGGGTCACGGCGCAGCCGGCCCGCTATCGGGTGACGCTCTTCACTGACCTTCCACGCCCGTCGAGTGGCTCGTCAACGAAATGAAACGGAGCAAACTGACTGCTCATATCGGGCCAAAATTGAAACAGGATGCTTGGGAATGAATTTTGAGAGTCCAAATAAGGGCAGGTGTTTTTCACTGTCAGAGTACAGCTTTGAACGGGACGACGTTCAGAGGTTGGTACGCCGGTGATCGGCCCGGCTCCGGTCGGGAAGACTCACCTGCCCGGCGGCCGGCCACCACGGGTCCCACGCTCACTGCTAGGCAGCGCGCTCACAAGTTCTGAATGTCCTTCAGCGTCGTGTCCATCTCGTCCTCGAGCAGCTTCTGCTGGTGGCGCGCCTCGACCAGCGCCACTGCACGAGCGGCGGACAGCCAGACGGAACACGGCGAGCGTGCGGGTTAGTGAACAGAACGGACGGCGGGTGCGGCGGCCGAACGGGGTAGTCAACTCAGACACAGCACAGCTACCTCAGGCCGGGCGACCAGGCGCCAACCAAATAAAATCACTACAGCAAACACAGAACAGACGCTCAAAGGGTTACAGACCAGCCAGCATACATACACATAGTAAGTGGTCTGGCTGTGCGTGAGGCGTGCATCAGTTGATGATTATATCACTCCAAAAAGAAAACCATGCAGGCACCGAAAACTATCAATTATCGAGCAGAGAGCTCCACTCCATACACACAGTAACATCCATTCCGGGACTGGGAGGGTCCAGCTGCAGGGCTGGGCGGCGGGTGCTCGGTGGACGGAAACAGAGGACGGGCAGGCGGTGCCGCTGACACTGACAGGCCCGGAGAGGAGCGCACTAGGCGCTGAGCCCGGGCCGGCCTACCTGCGTCAGTACGCCTTGGCAGCGGCGCGCAGCTTGTCAATCAACGCTGCTTGTAAAGATACAGACGGGAGCGGATCGATAGCGTCTGCGTGTGGCGCGGGGGGACCCCACCCGGAGACGGGGCCCGACACCCACCACCCCCACCCGCGGTAAGCAGAGGACCGGACCGGGACGGAGCGGGACGGGGACGGGGACGGGGCGCCTACCTTCCAGTCTGTCGACCTCCTTCTGCAGCTTCTGCACCGACCGCTCGGCGAACTCAGCGCGAGCCTCAGCCTGCGGGCGCACGGAGGGGCGGGGCGACCGAGCCGGGTCAGCGGGGCACAGCGCGGCGGGGCCCGGGAGAACACACCACAGAGACAAACCCAACTACGGAACCCTGGGAAACAACTCGTCTTTTACGTTACGCTACGCATCACACGGCTGTGACAGCACATTGGCATACGAGAGCCAATAAATCAGAATTATTGCTTGTCAAAGCAGCTTAAAAGAGATCCGAGATAATTTCGGTTATGGCCACCACACTGTTAGCATTTATCGATGCTATTCTATAATTGTGGAATTTAGGCAACGAGAAAAGGCATTAAAACGCAGATGAACCGCAGCATCGGTAGATCAGCTTACAAGCAATGTGTGAGCACGTGTACCGGGGAGAGATACGTCCCCAGCGTCAAACGCAACCAACACCTACCTGAAGACAACGGACCTGGCGTCCCAGCCTACAGTCTTTTTGTAAAATACCATTAAACAGATTTAAAAAAAGAAATGTTTGACATCAAACAGACTCCACCGAGGAAAATTCGTAAAAATTGTTTGGTGTTCCCAAAATCCTGCACCGGCCAGGACCTGACTGACTGTAAGTGTCATATAAAATAAACGCCAACTTATAGCTATAAAACTACCGGTACAAAAGAAAGATATCAGCACTCACCCAATTTATCATTTCCCTGACTTATTGTTCGTAATCCTCTGAATCTCTTCGGCCTGTTCTTTTCACATGGCCGAGCTCTGTTCACCTCTGAGTTCCCATAAACCAACGAAATTTCAGACTCCCTGAGACACGACTAAAACTGACTCCGCAGTGTCGGCCTGACACCACGTCCAGTCGCCGGTGAACTAACCGTTCTGCACCGTGCCGCGTGGTCCTTGAGACGCTCCTCGAACACCGCCTCGCGCTCGGAGGCCTACAGACAGACAGACAGGCGGCGGCGCGGGCCGCGGCGGGTTAGTCGGCCGGCACCGCACCACACTCACAAGGCCAGTTAGCCGGTCACGGCACACGGTTAGGTCACTCGGGGGTTAGGGGGGCCGGTCGGCCGTCTCTGCGGTCGGCCGGCGGGCGGGCTGCGGGGGTTAGTGAGGGAGGCGGTGGGTCGAGCCGGGCCGGCCGCTGCGGGCGCGCAGTACCTGCTTCAGCCGGCCGGTGTACAGGGTGATCTGTTTCTCGTACTCCTCCTCACGTTCCCGGGCCTGGCGCCAGGAGACAGGGCGGAGGGCGGCCGCGCCGCCGCGTGAGCCTCACCACACCAGCACACACACCAACGCCCGGCGGCGCACGGACCAGGGTAGGTAGGGGGCAGGGTGCGGAGAGAGAGGGGCGGGCCGGCGCGGCGCACCGTCGTTAGCTGTGGGCTCTCCATTCGCGGCTGCGGGCCGGCTAGGTTCGGGCGGGTCAGGTCGGGCGGGATCGGAGTGTCGGGGCCACACCAGGCTGCGCTGGCGCTGCGGCGGCTCTGCTACACCACTCGCCGGCCGGCCGGCGGACGCACCATGCTGCGCCGCCGCCGGCCGCTGCGCATGCTCTACCAGCTGCGCCGTTACCTGCTTCATTCGGTTCGTTAGCTGCTTGATCTGTTCCTTATACGCCTCCTCTCGCTGGTTGGCCTACAGGAACAGGGGCGGGGCGGTTTAGTGGGGCCGGCGGCGCGGCGCGCGCACAGCTAAGACAGCGGAGCGGCGGCGGCGCCAGACGAGATGGCGCGGTGAGCGATAGTTATAGCGTGGCCATGAGCGTGTGCAGCGAAACGGGGGCACCACGCCTGCTACAGCTGTCCAGAGCTAGCTGAGAGCTTCGGGTCCACTTCATGGGGCGTTCCTTGACGGGGAGGTGGCCACCCTGGGGGTGGCGGGCGGCGTCCCTGTCCAGTATTAGTAGGTGTCCGTGTCTCTGCGTCTGCCGGTTAGTCGCGACGTGACGGCAGCCCTCCCCTCGAGTAGTGAAGCGGCGGCAGCGGTTATTGGCGACACTGAGCGGCTTATCGCGGCGAACAAACAGCCAGCGGACCACGGCACGTCGGCGAAACGTCAGCGGGACGGGACAGACTAGGACCACGCGGTCTGCAGCCGACCACGGAACGTCAGGGGACCGCGCGGTCTGCAGCGGACCACGGAACGTCAGGGGACCACGGAGCGTCGCCGGAACGTCAGGGGATTGGACCGAGGACCACAGGGTCTGCAGCAGACTGTCGGCGGACCGTCAGCGGGACCACACGGTCCGCAGCGGGGACAGAGGAGGGCGGGAGGCGCGGAGCGGGGCCGCTATCAGCCTCCTGACAGCCAGCCGGGTCGGCCGGCCGGCCCCGATACGATATCGGCGGCCGGCGCCTCAATAGGGCGCTTTGTCGGAGAGCGGGATTAGAGCGGTACGCCGGGGTGGCAGGACCGGGCGGGGGCGGGGGCCGGGGCGGGCGTGACCCGGATGGAGGGCGGCAGACGGCGTGCGGCAAGTTATCCATAGATGTCAGCAAAGTACGACAGTAAAAATAGTACAACGATTACAACAGGATGAACGAGTTCAGGCGCCGACAGATTACCGCAAAACAAGCGAACATATCAGTGCAATCATTTTATGAGTAAACAATCTTTCACTAGACATGGCTGCAGCTAAAAATAGCAGTGAATAGTTTCATGATACCCGAACATGGTCATCCCAACACATTCTGGAACAATTCAATTGGTTTGATAAATCAATTTTTAGCATTATTAGTATTGATTTTTCTATTTTCTTTATACATGAGCAAGAGATCCTAACTTTCTCAATCCAATTCAAATGATATTCGAAAACTTTTTTACTCTTGATAATTAATGAAACTATGTAAGGAGGCTGGGAATCGGGCGGCGACAACTCACCTTCTCCTCCGAGACCTCGAGCGACTTGAGGTTGTTGCCGACGACACGCAGCTCCTCCTCCAGCTCCACGATCTTACTGTGGGACGGACGGGGCTAGGTCAGCGCGAGGGACCGACGGATGGGCGCTGTCAGCGAGGGACCCGACGGACCGGGGGGACGGACGTCCCCGTCAGTACGGGGGACGGATAGACGGGGCCGCGTCAGCTTGAACGCTGCTCGGACCGTCTAGTGGGATATCACATCAGTCCGACTGGGATAGCTATAACACGGGTTAAAAGGACAGCACAAATCGGGACGCCCCCAAAGAAAAAAAGTTGAACTCGGTTCAAGTGTGTCGTGATACGGTCAATTCCACCCGAATGACTCACAGGCATCTGATAGTTGACAGGGCACCACCTTAACTGGTCATCGATAGACCAGATCGCTCGAGCAGTCCAAAGATAAAGGGTCAGACATTTCGACGTAAGTCCATTCGACTATCAAACGGCCATGCTGTGTGCGACAAATCCATGCAGTATACGGTTCACAAATTAAATCTATACAGCGCGGAGTCCATTCCGGAGTCCAGCGGCGGTCGTTCTCTCAGTGTCCAGCCGGCCGGCCGGGGGACGGTGGCAGGGGGTGCGGGTTCGCGCGCAGGGACTACTCACGCCTCGCCCGTCTCAGCCCGCTCCTCGGCGCGTTCCAGGTCGTTCTCCAGCATGACCACCTTGCGCGCCACCTGTTGGACAGGCCGAGAGCCGGGCGTGCCGGTGAGGCGGGGCCGCGGGAGGGGTGCGCCGCGAGCACAGCAGACCATGCACCGCGCTCGGAACACACTCAGCCACCGCTGCTCGGGTGGTGTGGGCGCGGGTGTGGTCGGTAAGTGGGGCGGTGGTGCATGCTCTCCGTCTCCGCTGCTGCTGCTGCCGCTGCTGCTGTGATGGCTGCTGCAAAGCGTGCCAACTGAACACACCGACAACACACAAACCAAACCAGACAGGCAACAAACAGGCGTCAGTCGACGGCCCGGGCGGGCGCGCGGGGGCACACCACTTACGATTCGCCCGTCTCGGCGCGCTCCTCAGCCCTCTCGAGGTCGGCCTCAACCATGGCCAGCTTACGGGCCACCTGGGGAGGTAGGCGGCGCGCGCGAGCCACACCGGACACGTCAGACGCGGTCGGACAGCACCGACAGAGGACAATTACAGATAGACAGGTGCCGAGACAAGACAACGGCGATATCTGAACGCCATTTGAGGCGAAGCTAGAACTGCAGCACAACGTAGAAAACAAGTTTAACTGTGATGGGTGGTTAGACACCTTTTTCATTATGTCTAATTCAGACGCAGTACTTCGAAGGTTCGAAATTTCATCTGAATTCAAGCATCGAATACGCAACCACATTCTGAGCATTGATGTCGAGAATGGAATGCAAGAAGCTAGTGATGTTCACTCAGTGAACGCAAGCAGTTAATTAGTGTCGAATTATGAAGCCTAACTACTTCAAGGTGACGTCAGAGTGGCGTTAGCATTCAGGTTATTCAAGCTGCACGCACGACTGATTAGGTCACTCGAAGTATGTCACGTCAACAATGAGCACCAGAATAGTGACGCACACGCAAACATGATCTGTACCAGGTTATGAGGTTATCAGAATCCAAAGGTCTACTAAAAACTAGTTCATGTCGATACGGACACCACAAAATCCAACTTGACGTTACACCCTCAAACATTCAGCAACTTCGAAACAAAAACAAAAACAAAACAAAAACGATGCGTTCATAAAACAAAATCAGGCAGGGAAACTCCGAGCGGCATTCTGGATCGGTTGGCTCCTGTGAACGGGGACGGGTTCGGCACTGCACACCACACTCAGTTCTGCTGCTGCGGGCGGTTAGTCGGCCTGCCGGGACACGCAAACAAGTCACACCTCGTCGTATTTGCGGTCGGCCTCCTCAGCCAGGAAGCGGGCCTCCTTCAGCTGGTTCTCGAGCGCGTCCATGCGCTCCTCGTCCGAGAGGCTGCGGTTCTCCAGCACCTTGCGCATGCTGTGTGACGGGCGGCGCGGAACAGTCAGACACCGGACATGGTCAGACAGCGGGGCCCACCGGGCAGGGGGGAGGGGGGAGAGAGACACGGAAGGGGAGAGGAGAGAGGTAATGATGCAGGGGAGAGCGGCAGGCCAGCTGGCGGCGGAGCCACACAGGTGGGCGCCGGCCGCCAGCAGACCGCCGGGGGCGGGACGTGGGTCGGTTCCGGTCCCCTTCCCCGCTCCCTCAGCCTACCTCCTCGTATTTTTTGTCGGCCTCCTCGGCAATCAGCTTGGCCTGGGCGAGCTGCGCCTCCAGGATGGCCACGCGGTCCTCCTCAGTGTTGGTCCGGTTCTCTAGAGCCTTGCGCTGCCTGAGCGCGGTTAGGGAGACACACGCACAAAGCAGTTAGTTGGGGGACCAGCGCAGCAAAATGGCCGAGGCGTAGGGTGGAAGACGACAAAAATCACATCAACATGCGGGGAAAAATAATTGTAACTATATTCTGCGTTCGCAGCAGAGTTCTTCCAGAGTTTCAGCAATGGTGGAACCTTGTTACATATCGGCATGCTAACAAAAATAAACGTAAGACGGCAACTTCATGTTAATCGTTAATCGCTCTCAGAATTGAATGGTTGAATAGCTCAAGGGGTTATCACACGCCAGAATAGTGTCTCCTGCTCACTAAGAAGGGTTGCGCAAAGTATTCGGTACGCTTGTGAGTGTAAGGAAAGGAAAAAATCGTCGTTTTGTTAGGCTAAAACGAACAGGTGGTAGCGTTTGCGCGACACTAGCTTTGGTTGCCAACATGAGCCATACAACACCACGAAAATGTGACCTACGTTACGGGTTAAACAGCACGGTGTATCGGATATCTCGCAATGCAATACGGCTTACTGCCAATATCGGCACGTTGATAAGCTACGTGAACTCTATACGCCCATCTAAGACGGACTCTCCATTTCTAACTAGGTACCCTATCTGAAATGAATCAGCGCGCTATCACGCTGCTAGTGGCACCCATGGCGTTACCGTGGCTCTAGTGAGGGGTGAGTGCACTCGAGGAGATACGTACCGCTCGGACTCGTCGGCCGAGTGGGAGGCCTCGGCCAGCTTGGTGGTGGCGGTGGCGAGCCGCTCCTCGGAGCGCTCCAGGTCCTCCTCCAGCAGCTGGATGCGGCGGCCCAGAGCCGACACCTCGCCCTCAGCCTGCGCGCAGCGCGGGGCACACCGTCACAGAGCAGCCGTCGGCGTGCGGTCACAGTTAACAGTCAGGCAGGGCACGGCAGACACATCACACACTAACCGGACAGACACACCGATGGCACAAAACACCGAGATCAGAGCAGACAGGCAGGCTGGTAGACAGAACAGACGGAGATGCACCACATGGAATCGAATTGGAGATACACCGCAGACGGTGACAGATGTGTAGACAGTGAAACTGGGGGCGATCACTCATTGGTGGATTCTGAGGAACGGGGACGTCGGACGAGCGGGCGGGCGAGGGTGCGAAGATCGATCTAACAGACCCGACGACCGGCGGGTTCGGGTCAACAGCTTGAGTAAACAAACGGTCCGCGATATCTCTAATCCAGTCATGGATCGGTGGTAGGCCTACCCTCCCCGCCCGTCCGGTCACCACCCCACATTCTGGAAACGAACCACTCATAGCCGGCACGTCCACGTAGCGCCGTGATCGGACGACCCGACACCCCGGCTCGCCGACCGAACCGCTGAGTCAGTCGGTGGACCGCCGGTCGGCCGGCGTGCTCGCTGTCCGCTCCCCATCACCCGGAGCGGACGTGCGGCCGGCGGCTGCACTTTGAGCGGCCCGTGACCGCGCCGGCGGCCTGCGCACCTGGCTGGGCTGCACCGGCCACCGGCGCCGGCCGATGGGCCGCCCAGGACACCGGTCGGCCGCCGGCGCCGCGTGACGTAAGGCGCGGCTCGGCGGCTGACTCAGGCGCCGGCCGCCGGCGCCAGTATTTGTACACGGCCCGACCGCCTAATGTAGCCGGGACCGTTGGCCAGCGCGCGCTGACACCGGAGGTCAGCACGGGCCGGCTGGGAGTGTCGTCCGCCGCCCGCGCCGCGCCCGGCCGCCGCGGCGGGACGAGTCCCCTCCCCACCTCCCACCGCTCCCCGGCCACCACCCCACCCCACACCGGCCCATAACCGTCGATAGCCGCAGCACAGCGAGCACCAATCCGGCACAACCTGACGAGGTACAGCACGTCCGCGAAAACCGGCAGCCGCTTTCACCGGATCGCTTAGATGGCTTACGAATCCGCTCAAATTTCTCCAAAAGCTTATAAATAACGGGGTGGATTGTGACGCCAGCAGAGAGGCCGTTCTGAATAACCACCTGGTGATGGATCCCATCATCCGCTTAAGCATTTTCGAAATGCACTGAAAACACGATGCACAAATCTTACAGAATAAGAATTAATAAACTTTATATAAAGTTAAGTTCCAAGGAAAGGCTCACGAGAACCATCAGCGAGAACCATCAGCGACCTTAACGACCAGAGACAATGAAGATTCCAAACCATTGCCTCCACACCTCTCCACGAGCATCTAAGAAAACCTTTCAAATAGAACCTCACATTATTTTGCGATGTCAATGATCTAACAGCAAGTCTCAACCACAATAGTGCTGACCTATAGAGGAAGTGTTCATCCGATGCAGGTGCGGCTGAGGGGCGTGGTCAGTCCAATAAAAAAGAACAGTAAGAGGCCGAAAATAAAACGGAATGACCTCCTTGAAGCGTTCACCAATTTTGGTAAGTTCAGCTATCAATTACTGTGGAAAACAGACAACTGAAGCTGAAATCACAAAAGGCAATAGCGATACAAATACCGCGAAGGCTGCTACGAAAGCCGGTAGCTACCGTTTTAAGACATTAAGTTAGAAATTGATAGATCAGTTATGTAAAAAAGAAAACAAATCAATGAGACTAAAATATTGATAAGCAATGAAAAACGTACTTCTTCTCTGCGTCGAATCTCGTCGTTGAGTTGGTGCTTTAGCTCATCACAGTCGTCACGTTTCTTCTCTAATTCATCCCTAGTTTGGGTGATTTTCTTTCTCAAGACCTCAAGCAGTGATGCTCCTTGTCCCGCAGACATGATTGCAGAAGAATTGGTGCACTAAGTTTCACAAAATCACGATCAAATCACCCGAAGCACGCCCAACACACCGCACGCGGACACCACCCAGCCAATATGGTCGCCGGTTTTCGCCGCCGCAGTCAGAGCTCAGCTGAATTCCTCCGCGCCGAGTATAGTTCCATATATGGGCATCTTTCTCGGGAAACGAAGAGAGAGAAACTCTTTTGAAGTGCTCTATCTGCACTGATCACTATTTTTTGAAAAACCTTGTGCTATGAAAATTGTTACTTAAACTAAAACTTGTGCATAAATCTCGGTAATATTCGATGTAGGTATACATCAGCAGACCAGTGGTCTTCAAACTTTTAAAGGAGGGCGTTCCCAGTTAGAGAATATTTGCTTTATAAAAATGGTATATGAAAAAATAAAGCTATGATACGTTTGATCTTTCCGAAAATTCAATACATCGCGCTAAAGACACAGCAGTTCCCAATTGTCAAAAGTGCTGAAGCCAGGGTTGAGAGCCACTGGAGCGGCCGGCCGGCACGGCGCTGCGACGGGAGGCGCCGCGCGCGGGCTCAGCCTGCCCGCAGCGGCCGCCGATGGGACCGGGACGACGGGAGCGGTAAGATGGAACCGGTATGATGGGACAGGTGGGACCGTGATAGGGGGAGCGGCCGCAGCAGCCGTCCAGGAAACGGGACGATAGGACCGGTGGAAGCTGGGACGATGATGAGAGGGCCAAAGGAGGGAGCGGCCGTCACTAGGAGTAGGAACAGCACGATGGGACCGGCGGGACGGTCCTAATGTGACTTGTGAGGGACGCGGGAGGGATAACACGGGACTCCCATGAAACAAAACCGATGTTCCGTGAAAATACAGCTTCCAAGCTTCTCTAATTGGGTTGAATCAGGCAAAGTTTCAGTAGCGGTGGAACACCTTCAATTAGGGGGCGTGGGCACTGCCGACTTTTGTTCCCATTCTTTCCATGCAACGCTCAGATGGGGCTAGGGCCTAATGTTAAAATGGCAAAATCAAGGGGGCACGGTGCCCCGGTGCCCCCCCCCCCGTTCCGTCGCTTAGGCAAAGTTCCAAACCATAAAATGTTTCACTTGTTGCACGCCTCCAAACCTGGCGAGCTTCTTTTTGTAAAAAGGTCGAGGGATTAGCTGCCGAGAGCATTTCACTGTTAATGACCGTTGCCAAATCGCTTTTTTACTCAATTGAGGTCCAATGATCTCCAAACGCAGTGTATGTAGGTACGGTCAACTGCGGTGGTCGTTGGTTAGCGCGTTGAGCGACTTGGAGCGTTGAAATGGTAAGACAGTGAAGCGAAGGCTAGCTGGCGCCTCCCACAGCCACCCAACTCTGACCATTATAATTTATAACCGTGTGTAGATAAGCGAATCCGGCTATGATCCCTCCTTTTGCCTCGAGAAGACAAGGAAGTGGAACGGCGCAGGTTGTCAGTTCCATTAGACCACACGGAATCTGTAGCCCCATAAACACGGTGAGACCAAATCCTACATATTAAAGCAAAAATTAAAATCGGCAAGAAAGCATTGTTTGTGGTTAACGCTAGCACAAACCCGCCAGCACGTCCATCGTAGCAGCTTACATTTTTGCCGCTAGATGACACTAGCAGTAAAACGCCTGAAGTTATACTGTGCCGCATGACAAGTGGTAAACGCCTGAAGCTATACTGCGCCGCAAGACAATCTGTTACGGCGCGGGACTACCATTTGTGCGTACGCGGAAGGAGGGAGGCCAATGAGAGAAGAGGAACGTCGAACATAAGTACTCAACTCAATCATAATTGGCGCATATCAAACAGGCTTGAGACGAGGCCTCAGACCATAAATTTCACCGATAAATGGTCTCACAAGATGAAACGAACCACGTCGGAAGACAGGGATTACCTACTACAGTTTTGGCGAGAAACGAAGGTAGCTTCCCGCATTTCGACGTTTTCCAGCAGGTGCCTACGACAAATGCATATCTTTTTTTAACCACCCAGGTAAAACTGTTTTTTAAACATGAATTAAGCAGCTGTTAAATAAATAACACAGTAGTTTAAGTATATACAAATAACGGAACAAATCCGGTTCCAATCGTTACAGCTATAAATTCGCGTCGTACTATTTGAACGGCATTTTCCGCTCCTTATCAACTCGTTCTAAGTACTTACATGGATTTGTGCCATCCTATTTTCTAGCTCTTTTATCTGGCTGAGATGTGACGAAAAATAAAGCGATGTAATTTACAAATTCGAGGAAATCGGTTATAAATAATGACAAGTGAAACACTTGCATAAAACGAGTTCTACTTAGGCGGTTACGATAGGAACCATCGGGACCGGGCCCATATGGTTCGGTGCTCATAGAGGGCGCTTATGAGCCCTGGCAAACTAGCGAGACCAAATGGCGAAGCTCGGTTTTCTCAATGCCTAATTAGGTAACAAGAGCACAGGGGCCGACTGTCGAGAAGCTTACTTCAAGGCGCCAATGAAATCTTCACGGACTTCATGAATGCTTCAAAAGTGAGCGAGGGGAACGACACGGAACAACAAAAGAATAATTGTTTACATGAATGCGTAGCACCTACCTACAGACATGTAATGCGACACAACTCCATGATCAAGAGCCGATTACGTTAGCTAAAGTCAAGGCCTGGTGAGCGTCCCGCACAGTCATGCATAGCTTCTATACATCAAGTCTGATCTTCTCATAACCTTTGTGAACGTTTGCTTTAAATCGCTGCATAACCTCTCGAGATGAAAAATGTGTGCTCGACATTCGTCTGCTGCCTAACCTTAGGCACTTATATGACACTTATGTTATATGACAACTAGCATTACTGGCTGCAGTGATCCATTAACTCCGACATTCACTGATCAATGAAATAAAGCAGAAAGGTAACTAATGAAATCAGTGAGCCAACTCAAGCGTGCTCAGAGTTCCACTTCCCAGCTAGACAGCAAGGTCCTCCGTCGCTTTGGCATTTCCTGATTTCCGTGAACTCACTCAGGACACGACTATCGCGACGAGCGGCCCTCAGAGTCAGACTGACGTCACAGGAAGTCGCGGCGGTCTCAGTCGCCGCCGACCGCCCGGCTCCCGCGGCGGCGGAACGGACCCTGTGGGACTCGTCAGAGGCGTCCACAGACCAACGCAATGACCCGACACCGACGGCCGGCCATTAATTCCCAGTGAATGGACGCCAGGATTAGCAAGGGCACTCAGGACAAAAGAGTTAGGAATGTTGCCACATTGGATCAGGCGGCGACAGCAAACGTTACAACGGTACAAATAACCCCTCACATGGTGCAATAAACAAAGAGACAGCGCACGACAAAGGACATTGACAATGGACATTCAACACATACTGTCACAAGGTAATGCATGTTTATGACACGAAAGGTGACTACAATGACGAGTGTGAATCTTTTTTTTTTTGCATATTTTTACGTTCAATGCCTTCAAAATGGTCACAAAAGCAAACAATTTACGTTAAAAACTACGACCAATATTATCTAAACTGCTTCACTATATGCATTACTTGCACTTATTTTGACCGTTAAATTTATTGTGAATATATGTTCGCATCTAACCATCGAACTAATACAGCAACGGGTAGGTATACACAATACACATAGAACCATACAAGCAAAACTAAAATACTCTACAATTCCCTTCTATACCTCACAACCAAACGAGATCAATGTCTACGAATGTCTACGCACAGACCAAAAACAAACTTCACTCCACTACAGTTGATACCCAGGCCATCCCTACACCATCCACCCGTCATGCCTGCAGATGAGGTGTCGGTCTACTCTGCTCTCACTGCTCCACTGAAACATAAATACACATCGCACACCAGTGACGGGCCCTGGCTGCTGTCTGCGGGAGGGGAGGGTGGGGTCGGGGCAGTCTGCACACCGGAGCTCTAGCTACTCCAGTCGTCTGAGCCTCCAGACGACTCCGTGCAGACCTCCGACAGCGGCTCCTGCCTCCAGCTCCTTCAGCGGAGCGTGGAGCGAGCGAGCCGCCACAACCTGCTCAAAAACCAGACTCACGTTGGACAGCGCCTTATCTTTCTCGACGAGGTTATTGTTAGCGACGAGCAGTTTCTCCGAGGTGTCGTCATAGTCGTTCTCCAGGGTCTGCATCTTACGCTGGATCTGGCGCAGCTCGTCCTCGGCCTGGAGCGCGGCGTCAGGCGGAGCGGAGGGCACACCAGGTCAGCTCGCCCTGACAGCGCCTCTGGACGGCGCGCGCGCGCGCGAGTCTCACCGTGGCCAGAGCCTTGTCCTTCTCCTCCAGCTTGTGGTTGGCGGTGGTGAGCGCCTCCTGCACCGTGTCCAGCTCGTTGTCCGTCTGCTGCAGCTTCTTCTGCAGAGCGCGCAGCTCCTCCTCGGTCTACAGGGAAGGTCGGCTACGGGTCAGGCTACCGCTAGCTACCGCTGCCTACACCCGAGTGCGGACGACTACCCTAGCTACCTAGCCTCTTACCTACAGCCCTGCCTACGGCCGGCTAACTACTCGGGGCCTTACTCACGGACGTCAGAGCCTTGTCTTTCTCCTCCAGGCTGGCCTGAGCCGCCTGCAGGGCCTCCTGGGCCATGTCAAAGTCGTTCTCGACAGTGCCCAGCTTACGCTGGATGCCACGCAGTTCGTCTTCGGCCTGATGTAGCCGGTTAGTGGGGGCGAGAGCACACGTTAGACCGAGCACGCGCGGCTCCCAGTGGCCCAGAGACCAGGTGGACAGGACAGGGCGTTAGAGGAGCTCCAGATTAAATAGCAGCCGTTAAGCAAAAGTGAATTAGCGGACACAGGCGGCACTGTGGAAAATGGAGAGCTGGGTAAATTCAGCCGGTTAATATGCGTAAATATCTTAGAAATCAGAAAAAAAATGTTTTAACATTTAGAAGAAATGTTTCTGTTTATTAAACAGCAACAGCAAAACTGCTAGCCTATTTATTAACAGGTTCATTAAAAAAGAACAGGAAAGAGGAGCATACCCAAATGTTCTATGATAGCTTGAATAAGGTAAGAAGGTGAGAAGGGGCCACGGAGATGATTAGGTGAAACGGTAATGCAATGTCATAAGAGGAGTGTAAAACTGGATGAATATAACATTAAAACTCACTGCAGAAGTATGAGGCAAGTAATACAGCATGTCAAGCACAGATAAGGGTGAGTACCTATAAATAGATCGATGCCCAAGACGTCTCACGGCGAGGGCAAAATTATAAAATCAAACGTTAGTTACATGCATGTAAAATGGACGGTTTGAGCTAAAATCAGCACAAAAGTATGCACCGCTTACTGCCGAAAACAAACAATATCGACGGACGAAATCGTATCTTCAAAACTTATGTTTGTTTGGAATTCGTAAACGTATATTAAATATCTTCGTTAACTTCATATACTATGAATCATGTAAGAAGTATGTAATAGCTCATGTCCGTCCATTTCACCTTGATATTGACGAAAAAGGCATGTCGTGCAGAACACATGACAGGCAGTGTTTGCATCTACAGCAATTATAAGCGGGGTAAACAAGAAAAACATGTGCCTCTAGGTATCTTTTTCAACTGAATACTCTATGGAAGCATATACCCCAGAACAACACCAAGATACACCGGTCTATACACCAATATGTAAAATCACTAACAACTCTCCTTAAGTGAAAAATTAATTTGTGATTGAACACGTCCTATATGTTCTAAGAGAACGCCAACAAATAAATGCGCGAACGGGCTAAATCTTTTAAAATTAAGCGACAAGCGACGCTCTTCACTACATGTCACATCTGGATTTATTCTATTGGCTGCATTCGAGTCTAAGATGAGTAATTTAACAAATATGCATTATCATACGATACATCAGATAGAGTTCTTTAGCGAGAAAAGTATCCCCGACATCAAAATAATGGCAGTAATATACGCGAGCAATGAATGAAACTATGTGAAAGTTCTTCTAACATTTCTGAAAAGGTCACCTCGAAGTTCGAAAGCAGCCTATAGCACCACGTAGCAGTTACATTCGAAACGTCTATGCTAAACTAATGCCTAATGTGTTCATATAAGAGTCAGGCGCGAGAACAACTAGAATCTATTTCCGAAAATTAAAGAGCTGACCGGGCTGGTAACGAACATCGCTACGGGCTGGCTGAACGGCAAGCGTCTCATGCTCCGCGCATTGTGTCGGTCTTGAGAGACAGATTCTCCATACAGGGGTGTATCAAATAATCTATTAATTAATCAGATGGTCCAATACTATTATATCATAACATTGGGAAACTCCAGAACCAGATTACGTTACAGACTTTAAAGGGCAATAAAATAAAAATAAGACTGAGGAGTGAGGTCATCCCAAAACCGGAAAACGTTTGCCGTGCATCCAGCGTTATAACGCTGAGTTTGGAAATAAATAGATTGATAATTTTGAAACGATGATTCTTAACACAAATAGCAATTGTTGGCTGAAGCTTTAGCATAGGCAGTGAACATTGCAGCAATGGCAATAAGACCGAAACATAAGAAAATTTGAAAGAGTGAAGCTAGGCCAACACAAATTTTCAAACTTATGAAAATGACATGGGGACCCGGCGGCCGGCCTGTGCGGCGGCCTCTCCTGCCCGGAGGAGCCTACCTTCTCGGCGCGCAGGTTGGCGTCCTTGGCCTGCTGCTCGAGAAGGTCAGCGCGATCCATCGCGTTGTCCTTCTCCAGCTTCATCGCCTGCATCTTCTTCTTGATGGCCTCCATGGTGACGGCTGTGAGGGAGTTGGCTGCTCGGAGTTATCTGCCGGGCCATAGCACAGAGGTCAGCGTACGTGGAACGGAGGTGAACTTATTGTGGGCTGTGGCACGGTCAAGTTACAGGTTTGATAGGGAAAATGTTTTGAAAACGGATGGCCTAGGCAATAAAAAGTGAACTGCTTACAACGCTTATATTGAAAGCATAACTGACTGGAGTAGCCAGAAACCATTCAATCCATAATAACCGGACACAAATATTTAAACAAAAAGATAAATGCATTAGAACAAATGAACGTTGTGCGCTCAAAACAGGCTATGCAGAGAGACCCGTGTTGACAGACCAGAGAGACCCGAGTTGAGAAACCAGAGAGATGCCGATTTTTTCATATATTCTACAATGCACACTGACATGTGGGCAGATCACGTATGTCCATAAAATTATGTACGATTGTAAGTCCTTCCAGCAGGAAGCGTCCTAGTCATACGTCAACCACATTGGGTCATAATTCATCCTTTTATTCCGAAGTCCTTCGATTCTGCGCAAACAAGTGACTGGTGGCCGTGGAACGGACATCTATTTCTGTGTGCTGGTGCGGACCGTGTTTGGTAGTGGCCTCAGAGCAGCGTTTTGCCCGCGGCCTCTGTCGCACCTCGGCCCCAATGTGTGACCTTATGTGTCGCCGCTGCGGGGAATGTTTGCCGCCACGCCCTCCTGTGACCTGTCACATTCACCCGCCGATGACATAGCACTGTGTGCGTTCCAGCGGCACCGGTCACGCACAGTGTACTCGGTGACGCGCCCAGCACACAGACCCAGTTCGGAACCCAATTTAACCGCGGCTTCCTCTGTAATTTACATGTCGCTGCGGTCAGGTGTTTACCTACATACCATCATACGAAATATCCTTTCATTGCGGGGCAAATGTGCCACTGCCCGCTGTCATAGAACTATTTATGATGCATTGTCCGATCTGTCCCGTTGGCTCACCGCATGCCCTGGGCCAATAACTCCACCCGTTTCGGCGTCAGCATCCCGTGAGTGCACACAATACCTATACGCATCTCGGCCGTGCGTGGGACCCGCCCTGTGCCACAGCTATTTCCGGCCGGCCGTGCATCCTGTTGTGCCTTGTCACGAGACAAATAGAATCTCGTCACGGCCCACGGGCGTGTACAGAGTCACACACACGGTGACCCGAATCAGTCACGAACCAACGACGTTCGGATCACGCCAGGCACGTATCGCTCGGTCACCAGTGAGCCCACAGTTGAGCACACAACCTGCTGAGGAAACAAGGATACCGAGCCAACACAGCCCGCTGCGGAAACAGGGAAACGGAGCGGCGACGGAAGTGACACATCCTCAGAGCGGAGCGTTCACGGAACGGAGTCGTGATTCACGGGCTGACTGCGGCGCGGTCGCTGTGAAGGCGCGGTCGTTTCTGGCGGCGGCGGCGGCTCGGGTTCCGACCCTGGTCGTGTGTTCCCGCGTCTGTTACGTGAGACCGGTCCCACAGCCCCGTCTGACGGCCGACCGCCGGTCACGGTCGCGCCGCGCCAGCCCGTGACCCCACCGCGCCGAGCCGCCGCCGCGGCCAGCCCCCACCAGCCGCGCACGGCGCACCGACGGCACCATATATGGGCATCGGCGGCCCGACCGAGCCATTGATGGTCCGACAGCGGAACCGACAAGGTCGCATTGGCAAACGATGTCGGATGGAACGATGTTGGATTGGCAAACGTAGACGGGACGTCGCCATTTAGCCAAGCGACATTTCACCGATTGATCTGAATTAGAATACGATACACCAATCAATCCTAGCCTGGAGCCAGAGTGCTGCGCCGGCCAGAAACTATGTAATTAAGTGTAGTGTGATTAGTAACATATGGCCAGGTCGAATTTGAAAGCCAATTACACCCATCCGTCCGGTGAAACGTTACCACCGCACCTTGAACGTAGCGCTCCTCACTCCGTCAGCCCTGAGGCCATCACTTGACTCTGGGAGTCCTAATTTTAAAGAGCTGCTGACCTGCGGGTCACAGTCCCTCCACAGGTCCCAGGAAGTACCCCATCATAGTCTCGGTAAGGATAAGATAAGGTTACGCTTGGCACCCTCAACCAAATCGAGCCCACATCAGCACCCTGCACCAGTGCCCATCCAACGCCTGGGCCGCCGCCGCTGAGCCGCGCTCCAGTGCGCTCACTTCCGCTGCTTTATACGGCACCGGATGGCCAGTGGCCCGATTTGGGGCTCGCGCGGGTCAGCGGGTGACGAGCAGACGGGGCATCCGGTGGGCCTACTGGTGCCGTCCGCGGGCGAGGCGGCCGAGCCGGCGCACAGCCGTGTACCAGACGACACGGCCGGACCGAGCAAGACAGGATCTGACGGATGGCTGTCCCAGTTCCGACGAGCCGCGGCGGCTGTAACGGTGGTGACGGCAGCAGTGGCCGGCTCAGTCGCGTGCCGTCTAGCTATGGACAATGCCGTGTGGCCCGTGTAACGCCGAGCTCCGCGCTGCCGTCAGCACAATACCAACCGCACCCAGCCGGCCCGTGAAGGCTGACGCGCCGCATTGGGTCAGACCTACAGTCGAGGTCACTGATCAACGCCTTCTATTCAGCGGCCTGTGCCGGCGACCATTCACCGTCACAGAGAGGTTGCGCACAGCGCCGGACGGGCGGCGCACGAGCGAGAAGGGTGAGGAGGGCACAATGGAAAGGGGTCGGACGGCACCGCACATGTACATGTGTTGCCACTTTAGTAGACAAAAGCCTGTAAGAACCAGTAAATCACAACACGAAAACGAAAAATGTACCGCCTGAGCACTTAAAGAAGCATTACACAATATACAGCCAAAGGTTCGGTTTCCGAGCACATCTTCACGGAAAATCTTCGTTCGTTTCAAATGCACCGATTGAGAAACAGCTGGCGGAAACGGCGGAGCGAAAATCGCGTGACTGCAAGGAAGGTTGCTGACTCCTTCTGCCGCCCTCCTGCTTATCGATGACCCGAGAGACGCAGTTGGGTGTCGAAACTCGGCCCGACCCTATCTGGAACGGCGCCGAGCGCGGACGGACACATACCACACCGGTGGAAAAATCGGAAAGTGAGAAGGGAAGGGGAGTCGGAAGGGGAGGTGAGAGGACATGTAAGGAGCGCGCTCACGGCTGCAGAGCAACGTTCCATCGTGCTTACTATATAATGGCAGCTGCCTGCTTTATCATCTGTGTCCTATATAGCGGTCGTTTTTCCGCCTATCGCAGCGCGCTGGAACAGTCACCGGACGTGGTGAGACATAGAGCGGATGGACGCGACAGCAAACCGAGCACAGTCGCCCGACCGAGACGACTCCCCTCCACCAATGACTCTGAGCCGACTCCCCTCCAGTGACTCTGAGCCGACTCCCCTCCAGTGACTCAGGCCGTGACGGTTCGAAACGTCCGGCTCGGTTTGATACGATCCGTGACGACTCGATCGGCTCATTTCACGAAAGGACGGAGGATGGTGACCAACGTGGTCAGTCTGAGAGTAGCTCACGTGGCCTGCCAGCGATTCTCTCCTTTACAAGCTGAGGTCGGAGATAGCCAACACCGTGGTGGTCTGAGTCTGACAGTGGCACGTCGGAGTTTCACGTTTAGATTTTTTAACAACGGTCACTTGTACCCCGTGAACTCTTCGGGCTTTTCACTGTCAGGACGAGAGAGAGAGAGAGAGAGAGAGAGAGAGAGAGAGAGAGAGAGAGAGAGAGAGAGAGAGAGAGAGAGAGAGAGAGAGAGAGAGAGAGAGAGAGAGAGAGAGAGAGAGAGAGAGATCGACCACACACCAATTTCACATCGAACAAAAACCACCCGGCGACCGAGTCGGTGGTCGGATGGTCAGATGACGACACTCTGGCCGTATTGGTCCGGGCTGCTGACGTCAGCACACAGAGTCGATCTTCAGTGACACCAGGAGAGTACGGCGACCGTTGGTGCTCAGTGACGGTTGGTGCCGGCGGCCGTTGGTGCCGTTGGTGCCGTTGGTGCCCCTCCCCCGCTCCCAGCTGACCGGTTTGGAGACGGCCGTTATTGAAGGAGTGGTGCTCGGTGGGTGAACCCCGGATATAACAGCTGAGCGCGCAGCTTCAAACGAGCTCACATCCGGCCAGGGCGATCACTGGGCCCCCGGGTCGGTGTCTGTTGTCTAAAGCTTGAGTTGAATGCTGCAGCTGAGGTAGCATGCAACGTGTGCAGTGTGCACCAATCCAGGACAGTAACAACACCGGTCAGCTTCGAGATGACCTAATTCCGACAAAGTCACACAATTATTGAATGGATGATTTGCGCCAAAGAACTGCTAAGCACGAAGCATACCCATCAATTGCAGGCTGCAGCCTCTCTTGCATAGTTCATCGGTGCAGGTGCGGTGCGGGCACGGCGAGTCTGGTTCTCACGGCCGGCTCCCTGCCTGTTAGAGCACTTCATGGATAGGCTTTTTAGGATCCGGCCCGGCCCATATCCGGCAAGTCATATCCAGATCCGCCCATTATCCGCCTTTCTTTGAATATCAGAATCCGGCCCACCCATGGCCCGTATTGCAGCCAAACTTACAAAAAATATCCGTAATAATCCGTTTCACCAATAACTGGTTTCACCCAAAACTGGACTAACAAATTCAATCTAAGGGACCAGACAGCCATACAAGTCTTGTGACAAGTGAGTGTCATAAAATGATGCCTATTACTTTAATCAAACCTCTGCTGCCGCTTAACACATTAGGTTAATTTTTAACTTCAATGTTGAATGTTAAAATTTTGATCTGTTTTGATCCGGGTTCAACCTTCAATTCCCAAATCCGGTCCGCCCATATCCGTTCTTTTTTAACAAATTTAGAATCCAATCCTATCCGGTCCGCGGATTTATCCGTGGATAACAGATTTATCCGGCCCATGAAGTGCTCTACTGCCTGTCACGGAGCCTCACGGCGCTCCCACCGGAATCCGGCGCCACCAGCGAGCATTTCACCCTCTCACCGGCCCAGCCAGCCTCACCGGGCCACCGAA